ATAATATCTTTATTTATTTATTTTTATGTGGTGCTAGGGATCAAACTCAGTGCCTCATACATGTGAGGCAGGCACTCTATCACTGAGCTACAGTCCCAACCCAAGGATTATAATTTTTAACTGGTAAAGAGTTTTTAAGTTTTCAATCTGATCAACATAGAAACTAAAATAACAATTTTAAGTGTTATAAGTGTTAACTTATAGTTAAGTGTCTAAAGGGTTGAAACTATCTGCTGTCATAAAGGAGTCCTCAGAAAAATGCTAGTGTTAGCTTAGTCAGAATTCCTTTTTAAAATAAAAATTTTACAGCTTTAATATATGTATGCAAGTGTAGGTTTATGCACACTTTTCTATTGTATTATTCTTTCAGATATAATTTAAAAATTTTTAAATAAATTTATTTATTTTAATTAGGTATATATGACAGAAGAATGCACTTTGATTCATTGTACACAACTGCAGCACAACTTTTCACTTCTCTGTACACTATGTGGTGTCGCACCATATGTGCGATTATACACGTACCTAGGGTATCAGAATATTATGAGGGTGTTTCTGTTTTGTCTTGCCAAAACATGCAGTAATTTTTAAGACGTGTTAGTTTAGGGAAAAGTTTCCAAATTGAAACAAAAATTGCTCTTTTGAATTGTCTGCTTTTATTATGTTAGTTGAAAACTCTATAGAGTGTCTAAGTACCTCTCAAGCTGCATAAAAAATACCCAGTTGATGCATGAGAATTATAAATATAATTTATACAGTTGGTGAAGAAAAAAACCTATTCTAAAAGGCAATTAAACAAGAGCTATATCATCCTATTACATTTTAAATAGGAAATATATGTACAGAAAACAAAGTAATCATCATTACTATTATACTTTTCTTCTGGAATAGATCTTCTTTTAATTGTGGTATCATCTTCCTTCCTTTCCACATTATACAAGTGCTCCTTACACTTTAATGTGCACATAATCACCTGGGGATTTTGTTAAAGTGCATATTCTGACTCAGACCACCTAGGGTGAAACCTAAGACACTGAGTTGTTAGCCAGCTTCCAGGCAGTTCCCATATTTCTAGTCTTTGGATCAGACTTTTGAGTAGCAAGGTTTAAAACTAAGGGCAGCCAAGAGTTGAAATGACAAAAGAAATGGCAGGATTTCCCTTTTTGTTTTGTTCTACAAACTAACCAATACTCAGACTGAAATTTACTTAATTTAATTTTAAGCTTAGCTTACTTTTCTTTGCCCCAACTTCCTCCTCATTGGTGCCTTCTCTATTCCCACAAAAGTAAAAGTTCTTAAATACAGTCAATTGTTATTATCTAGGATGTCACAGGCAAATATTATCCATGTGAGTCATAGACTGGGGTTCTCAAAGAGTGGTTCCCTACAGTGCTTGATGAAAATATTTTCTAGAAATAGGGTCAGAGTAAAGAAACTGGTAAATGAGTAAATTGTGATAAAACTTAGAATAATGAGTAATTTAACAATCATTTCTATTTGGCTTTATAATGTATAATAATAAAAATTGTAGAAGACTTATTTTCTAATTATGTTTTACTTAAGGTAACAATAATACAGATTTGTATTCTCTGATCACATATCAACCAATAGAGTTGGTGAGGAGATACGGGTAGGGATATCTTCCTGAAAGAAAAAGTTTATGTAGAAGAATGATCTTGGAAAACATTTTTTTCCTACGAATGCTACATCTATGGAAATTCAAATCCATATGCAAATCAATGCAACTTGGATATTGTATTATTCCCCCCTTCTCAGTTGGTCATTTAAAGCGGTACAAACAGCTATCCCCTTACTGAACTAAACTATGAATCCATCCCTAAATTAAGTTTTCTATGCAGTGACTTATTAAATTCTCACTACATTCTTACAAGGTACATACTATTATGCCAACAAAATAAGAAAACAGCCTACTGAGGAATTTTCAATTGAGAAAACCTTAAAGATTTTAATCCACCAGTGATTTTTGTGAAAAGCTCTGTTGTATGATTCAATGTATATAAATAAATAAATCCAATATATAACTTACAGATAGAAAAATTTAGGACTATCATTTACTTCATGAAAAGAACAGCCAGCAATTGGACTCCTTTAAGTGGTTAGTATATGTGTAACAGTACCATTGTTGTTGTTGGTTTTGAGTTACATATATTTAGCATACACATAATTTCCCAGGTAATCACTTAGGAGGTGAATCTATTATCTATGTGTTTCTCAAACTGACCTGATCATAAGTACCATTTGGAATCTTTGTTAAAACTACAGAATCCCTAGTTCCCTCCATTGGAGATTTTGAATCAGTAGATTTGAGGTGAAGTTAAGGTACTCTATATATTCAATATCTTATTCATTTTTTTAAAATGATGAAACAAGTTTGGGAGACACTAGTCCACTGAATAAACCTGAGTTTCATTTAAAGCCCCTCCTAGTCGGGCCTTATATTTCAAACAACCATAAAATTAACCTATGTTTAAAAAAAAATCTATCCATTTCCCCCCTAATAGATACTTTCCTCCTTTGCATCTTTGTTCAGGCAGTTTTCTATTTTTCCCCCCCAAAATCTTATTCATCTTTCAAGGTTCAACTCAACTCAAATTTTAAACTTTCTATAAATAATTCCCTGACCCTCCAGCCAGGATTATATTCTTTCATATATACACCCACAGCTATTTTAATCTCTTTTGCAGTGATTCTCTTAAAGTGTGGTCCATGGACCAGTAGGATCAGCACCATTTGGGAATCTGTTAGAAATTTAAATTCTCAGGAACTTTCCAGACACACTGAGTCATAAACTCAGGATAATCTGTTTCAAACAAGCCCTCTAGATGATTCCATGCACCCTTAAGTTTAAGAACCACTGCTCCAATGTATTCTAGATTTTATATTATAGACATACTTTGTTTTATTGTGCTTCACTTTATTGCACCTTACAGACATCACATTATTTATTATTTAAAGGCTTGGGGGCAACTCTGCATGCAGCAGGGCTATTGGTGCCATTTTTCCAACAGCTCAGATGACTGTTAGCATTTTTAGCAATAAAGTATTTTAAAATTAGGGTATATACATTTTTAAAGATATAATGCTATTGCATACATAATAGACTACAGTATAGTGTAAACATAGCTTTAATATTCACAGAGAAACCAAAAAAAGTTTGTGTGACTTTCTTTATTGCAATATTTGCTTTATTGTTGTGGACCAAAACCTAACCTGCAATCTCTCTGAGGTATGCCTATACTGTATATCTTAACTTCTCTACTAGAATGTAAAGTAAGCTCCTTAAGAACAGAAACACTGTTTTCATTTTGTACAGTATCAACTACAGTGCTTTTCACTTAGCAGATCACAATAAGTTAGGTTGAATTAAATTGCTATTTCTTTAGTGTCAAAGTCTGTGTACATAAGATAAATAGATTTTAGTGCATCATTTTTTTTCATTTTAATGGTGTTTAAAAATCTTTAAAAGTAGTAGTATGATTGATTCAGATACAGATGCATACCCATTGTAAAGAGGACAAAAATAAAGGAACTAGTTGCCCTTACTTTTCAACATGAGACAAAATCTCTTTTGTTTTAATCTTTTTATCTAAGCTTAATACATATCATTCCTTATAAATATTTACTAATAATAAAAATAACAATCTTATCTGGAAGTTTCTCATCTCTAAAGTTTTTATGCTTAAAGAAAATAAGTATTTTCTAAAATTTTTTAAGTGGGTATCAACTTCACTTGGTATCTATGTATTAAATACATTAGAAATAAACATTGCTTATGGTACCCTATATGCTACTTATTAATAAAGTTAATCAAAGTTGAAGTTGAGACATAATTTATTGGAAAATAATATAAATACCTTTTGCTAAAGGTCAACAAAACAAGGTTTTTGAATTCATGACACTGAAAAAACAAACTAAACAAAACCAACAATCTATATTGATTAATATTTCATTTATCATTGCTCAAAATTAGATAACAGTTCAAACAGCCATGGGATTTCTAAAAAT